TACCACCAGCACCCTCCACTTTCCTCCTGGCCTCAAACGTTTTTAACCTCTGAGCTAACATGGCTCCTGGCTCTAGCAAAGGCTGGGTGTATTTATTGTGTTGTGATATTTTTAACATTCTGTGACTTCACGCTAGACACAAGGGGGTTTTTTTAAATGGTTTTTAGAACCTTTTTTGTAGGAATGTTTAAATCCGAAGCTGTCTCTGAACTGGTTGTGTTACACCTCTGGATGTCAGTAAAGCTATTCCAGTTTCATACACATGGTGTCATGTTTCATTTTTACCCCTCTATCTATTTTGGCAAGATCTGAGACCTTCTCTGCCGAGACTGCCTTCCTAAGGGCTGTTCAGCACTTCTTATTCCAGCTGCCAAAAAGGGAGCACCTTTGATGGTAGTTAGCATACATTATCAGGGAGAGGATGAACCACTCCAGACTACTAACACCTGCCCGGATGTTTGTAGTGTAAGTAACTATATTCCAGTGAAACAGGTACAGGAAAAGTGCAGTTTGCTACCCTAAATTCTACTGTTGTGAGAACTGACTTAAGCACCTGGGACACAACAGTACTCCCACCCCTTCTCTGAAGTTCCACACCCTTCCTCTGCTTGTTCAGAACAACTTTCACAAGACCTACCCAGTGCTCACAAACAATAGTGCTCCCCACTGAGATGAGCATTTCCCAGGCTTCCCTGGCTGGAGCCAGGCCTTTGACTGTCACTTGCCCTCCACCATCCAGTTCTGCTTCAGGGTCAGCCCAGTCACTGGAAGGGAGAACAGAGTTATCTAGCATCCAGGGAGAAATGCTAGAGATGTTTAAGAAGGGGCAATCAGTCCTTACAGAGCACCTTTGCACAGAGAAGCCCAGTACTGCAACAGAGAATCATAGGCTGCAAAGGAATGTTAAAGCCCATCTAATCCACACACCTTCCACCCTGCTGTGGGCAGGGGTATCTTTCACGAGGTCTAGTTGCTTAAAGCCTAGTCCAACACTTCCAGGAATGGGGCATCTACAGCTTCTGTGGGCAACCTGTTCCAACATTTTGCCCCCACCCTCCCTGTAAAAAAATGCCTTACATGCAATCTCAGTCTACCCTCTTCTCGTATAAAAATGTTGTTGCTTGTCCTGTCACTACAGGTCCTGGCAAGAAGTCTTCCTCCATGCCCCTTTGATATACTGAAAAGCCACAGTAAGGTCTCCCTGGAGAGTCTCCCCAACTCTTTCTTCACAGGAGAGGTGGCCCAGCCCTCTTGACAATACAGCTTTTTATCTATCACATTAACTACCCCAGAGATGGTCTGAGACACCTGCAACAGTCCTGCACTGATACTGATGTGTTAAATCTCACTGACCTGCTGAGAAGTCCTTTACTACATTGCCATGTCAGTCCTCTTAACGTACTGCATACAATCTAAAATGAATACTTGCTATTTGTCTTTAGACCTGCAGCCGCTTTCTTTTCTGTGTATTAGTCTCAATTGTGAACAGCACAGAAGGAGACAGCTGTAAAGAAAAGCCTTTATTTTAGTGCATCTCCTCACTGAGGCTCATTACTAACAGCAAATTCAAAGAAGTGGTCCTAGGACTCTTAACAAGCCCATCTTGACCCTCTTGCTGTTGCAAGAGGAAACACCCCTGCAGGCCGGTGGTAGAAGCCCAGAACAACAGTGCAGGGATACACTTCCCAGCCTGCTCACTCCATAGGTATTGAGTCCAGCTCATTCAGGAAACGCTGACACTTTCCCATCAGGATCTTGATGGCTTCACTCACCAGCACATCTGGAGGCAAGATACCCGTTGACTCCACTGAAACTGCACAGAGACACAAGTCAGCAGAGCCACTAGGCAGCTTCAGCCTATACCTGGCTCCAGCATTTGTCCCTCATCTTCCCTTACACCACACTTCCAACAACCCTCATTGTCACAGACAGAGGTTACGCTTGCAGGCAGGAAGCACACACACGTTAAATCCCAAAGCAACACCAAACTGCAACCTCAGTAGCTACTCAGTGGAATACGAATGCTGATGATATGGCGGGTGAGGGGAAGGCAGAGCCCCAGCTATACGTGCTGGCAGTCCCTGCTTGCTTGGACAGAACACAGCAGGGCTCTCTGTTCTGTGGAGCACGGGGCACTCACAGATGTAATGATTCCGTACTCTTGCCAGGCGCACAAGGTTTTTCAGACTCTCATGTCGGAAAACTTCTCTGCTGAATGTGTCCAGCCGTGCATTGGCTACTCTTGCCACCTTTTTTCCTACAGGGGAAAAGATGAAACAAGATGGGTGCCTGCAGCAGATGGGCTCCTTGTGGACACAGCAGGCGCTTACCCCTCAAACATGCACTCCCCATCAGCAAAGGCAGTGAAGCCACCACTATAAAGAATTAGCATGTTCCCAAAAGGAAAATTTCAACCTGACAAAACTCGTCTCTTAAACAGTTCCAACCCAAACACAAAGCTTGAAGAGAGGCAGAGCCTTAGCATTTCAGGAAGATCCTCATTTGTGACCCAACACATCTGCATGTGACAACCACTGATCCATCAAACCAGCTTCAGAATAGCACAAAAGGCTGCTGATCAGCAAGTCAACATTACAATGTGGTTTTGTCTCTACAAGGTTTGACTCTGGTCTGTATTTGGCCTGTGATAAAGCTTGTAAAGAACAAGGCACTCAGAGCAGGAAGAAAGTACCCTTGATATTCTGGATCTCGATGACTCCAGGGGAAAAGCACTTCTGCAACGTTTCAGCTGCCTCATCCTCAATAGGCTGCAGGAGCGTAATGTCAGGAAGCAGTCGATAACTAGCTGTGGCCACAGGAGAAAACTTGGCATGATCTTTACCTGCAAGAAGAGTTAAGCATCAAAGATGAAGGCAAGCCTCAGGGGAGTACAGGGATGCCAGGGTCCAAGTTCATGGGGGAAAGCCAGTTCTCCACTCTTCCCCTTCACACAGCTGTGCCCTAGTACAAGCACTCACATTTGTCCTCCCACTCGCCCCAGGACCCAGGACTAACCTATACCCTTGACACAGTGCATAAGCACATCTATTTCCTGGCCAGGTCGCAGCAGTGCAATGAGGATGTCATCGTGAACAGGTCGGAAGTCAGCATCTGGAAAGAGGTCTGTCTGATTCCCCAAGGGCACCCATGTCATATGTTTACTGTACACTGCAAAGAGAAGCCACAGCATGAGCCAGTGCTGTCTCAAAACAGATCACTGGTCTGGACAAGACTGGAGATGGCAAGAAGTTTAGCAAACTGAGGGTATCAGATCTCTCAGCTCACAGCACTGAGAAAACAGACCAATTCCTGTGTCCCAAGACCAAAAAAGGAAAGGGAGAAAAAAAAAAAGGCATCTATTTTAGGAGAGATCTCACCTTTGTGATTGAAATATAATTCATTAGGATCAGATGATTCCTTGGCTGCCTGAGAGTTTCGGCTACATTTTATTTTCAGCTGGAACTGCAGAGTATCAATTTCTGTGCCTTCCTCATCTCCTGGGAAGGGGAGAACAGCATGAGCCTCTACGGAATCTGCTCAGTTTACCTGACCCTCCCATATTTCTGTTTCACCCAAGACTCTCACCTTGGTTTCTATATTCAAAGAGTCGTGGGTCTGCTCGTATAGGGATGAGGCCCAAGCGATGAGCCAGAATTTCATCCTGCACAATGGATGTGTTGTTGTACACAAAGACTTTCTCTACAGCCATTGTTGGCACCTCAGGAAGACAGGAGATCAAGTCAACGTGACAGCTGAATTACACACCAACACAGCACCAAGCCAGAGTGTCCCTTGTCTCCCATAAATAACTGCCCTGCAGACTATTTTCAGTGGCATTTCTGCTAAACCAGGCTGCCCAAATACCCTTACGGCCATTTCCCTGGCAGTGTTCAAGGCTAGGTTGGATGGGGCTTTGAGCAATCTGGTCTAATGGAAGGTGCCCTGCTTGTGGCATGGGCATGGGCACTGTATGAGTTTTAAGGTCCCTTCCAACCCATACCATTCTGTGGCCATTCTATGATTCCTTAGGTTGGTTTTCTTTAAACAGATGATCACAAGAGGTGAAGGGCAGACTGACGCACAGCCACTACCAACAGCGCCCTTAGAAGCAACAAACACTACTGCCCGTGCTGCTATAAAGCTCTAACTCCCTAGGCTCCTGGCACGTGTGCGGAACAAACCTGTGCTTTCCTTCCAATCCCAGGAGCTGCCCGCAAGGGCTGACATAAGGCAGGGCCTTCCCCACTCCCCATCATGCAAGCGTGCCCCCCCCAGCTCCCAGGCCGGCACCCCCGGCCCGGGTGGCAGCGGTACCTCGGCGAGCAGGATGCGGCGGAAGGCGTTGGCGATGGCGGCGTCGATGCCCACCATGTCGAACTCTAGCGCGTCCCCCTCCTCGCGGATCACGTCCACGCGGAACGCCTGCAGGGGCCGGGCGCGGAGGGTCACCCCGGGCACGGCGGAGCACCCCCCGCCCCATCACCACCGCGGGCACCCACCTGCTCGAAGCGCCGCTGGTCCCACGCGTCATCGTAGCCGGAGTAGTTGCCGGGGAAGTCGGTGGTGTGGACCTGCGAGGAGGCAGACAGGCGGGGCCGTGAGGGGGGCTGGGGACCCCGCACCACCCCGCGCCGCCCCGAACCAGCGGCTCACGTTGCGGACGCCGAACTCGCCCAGCACCACGCGGTCCCGCATCTCCTCAGTGCGCCGCTTGGCCGCCATGGCCGCCGCCGCCAGTGCGGGGCGGAGGGTGCGGGGCTCCCCATCACGTGACTGGTCTCTGCCCGCCCATGCGTGGTTTCGCTGTTCCAGGAGAGCGCGGTGCTCCTTCGCCGGCCAGCCCCGGGTCTCTGTCTCCGCCCCACCGCCCCGCACCCCTCACGCCTCACCTCGTCGTTCTGCCACGGCGCTGCACTTTTCCCCGCCCTGCGCCACACACAAGATGGCGGCACCGCTCACCCTCCCGACGCGCGGCCTCGCGAGAGAGTGGGCGCCTTTCCGCCCTAACGTCACATCCGGGTGCTGCGGGGCTGGCAGGTGGCTGCGGCCAGCGCGGCGCGGCGCGGCGCGGGCTGGGGACCATGTCCGCGGCGGCGGGCGGCAGCAGGAGTGGCACCGCCGGCGACTGGGGCGGCTTCGAGGACAACATGCAGGTGGGGCCGGGCTGCCAGCGGCGGGGGTGTTGTGGGGCCCCACAGCGAGGGCGCCGAGCGGGCGTTGACGTTGTCTGCCCCGGCGCAGGGTGGCGGCTCCGCTGTCATCGACATGGAGAACATGGACGACACATCGGGCTCCAGCTTTGAGGACATGGGGGAGATGCACCAGCGCATGAAGGAGGAGGAAGAGGAGGAGGGCGAGGCGGGGGCCGCCGAGGAGGAGGACGGGGAGTTCCTGGGCATGAAGGGGCTGCGGGGCCAGTTGGGCCGGCAGGTGGCTGATCAGGTGAGCGCTGCCCCAGGAAGGACCCTGCCTGCCCGTCCATCCACCCGCTGCCAGCTCCCTTTTGTCCGCAGATGTGGCAGGTGGGGAAGAGGCAAGCCACCAGGGCCTTCAGCCTCTACGCCAACATCGACATCCTTCGGCCCTACTTCGATGTGGAGCCCATCCAAGTGCGAGCCAGGTGGGCAAGGCCCGGCTTGGGCTGTCTTCACCGGGGGGCAGGGAGAGGCTGGCTGCCCCCACAAAGACAACAACATGGGGTGGGTTGTCACCCTTGCAGGAAGGCTCAGATGCCTGTCCCCTTAACGGGGGTCACGAGGTGGGTTGGTAGCCCAGTCGCCTGTCATTCAGCATTGCTGCTCAGGGAGGAAAAAAGGACTTTGGGTACTTGGATGCATTATGTGGCTTCTCTTGGGTTTGCATCACAGCTGTGTCCAAAAAGGCAAAATTCTGTCAGGCACCATGAAGAAAGGCTACTTCCTTCCTGTTTGTCAGTCTCTCATCTGCAAGTGGATCCCTAAATGTTTTCACTGAATCCTCTCCAGCAAGGTTAACCCACTGATGGTCAGGTTTTTTCCTTTAGTTACTTTATGCGACCCTTTAGAAGACATCTGTGTCCCACAACAGAAAACAGTGATAATGGGTGTTTGGGATCTTTTACTTTTGAAGTATTTTGCTAACCATTTTCCTGTGCTCCCTGCTCCTGATGTCATTCCCTGCTTTGCTGTGATGCAGACTGATGGAGTCCATGATTCCTGTGAAGATGATTAATTTCCCACAGGTGAGTTCCCTTTTGCTGAATCAGACTCAAAGGCCAAGTGAACATCCACATACACCTTGTAAAACTGAAGTAGTCCATGTTATTAAGGACCTTAGTTTGTTAAGTGCTCACTTCCCAAAAATTGTTGGAAAACCCTTTCCTGTAGTAGTCCCGAACCTCAGTGTGCTGCCTTTAGTGCTTGTACAGTTCCAGAGCTCTGGGCTTCACATATCCCAGAGTCCTTGTCACACAACATATTCTGCCTGGCTCCTGCCAGCCGTGACTCTACTGCTCCTTCTCAGGCAGCTAAGTGATAAGCTTTGAACAGGGCGATTCTCGCATCACTTGTGGTGGGGAGCCTGGTATTCCAGAGCACTAACCAAGCCTTCCCTGATCTGTCTCCTCCCGTAGAAGATTGCAGGCGAGCTGTATGGACCCCTCATGTTGGTTTTCACGCTGGTGGCCATCCTTTTGCATGGGATGAAGACATCGGACACCATCATTGTACGAGTCTCAGTGATAAGTTGTGGTTTGACTGGGCTCTGGATTGTTATAATGACACTAGAAATGGAGAGGAAACTTCTTCCATGACTGAATTAGCATCTTGCTGGAAAGCAGATTGATTTCAAGAACCTGTTGGTTTGGGGATGGGAGGAAGGATAGGGAAATCTTGATGCTCTGCTGCTGGGAGAGCAGGGTGTTTGCAGTGTGTCATCCTGAACTTAGAAAGGCTCTGGGACTCTCTCAGGTGGAATCTGGGTGCAGACAGGTCACTCCTTTGAGTTCTCCTCATCCTCATTCTGTCTCCACAGAGGGAAGGCACACTGATGGGCACAGCCATTGGCACCTGCTTTGGTTACTGGTTGGGCGTCTCATCATTCATCTATTTCTTGGCATATCTGTGCAATGCCCAAATCACAATGGTGCAGATGCTGTCGCTATTGGTATGTACACATGGAGCTGCCCCAAGATGTGTGGTATTCTAGCACAAGCTCTTCCCAGAGAACAGGATGAGTCCTTGTAAATAGGTTGTCCCAGGTAACCGCACTGGGACAATCTGGAATTCCAGGATGCTCTTCTGACTTGCCCCATCCTGGGCACAGTAATAGCACAAAGAGGCAGTTCCTTTGTGCAGGTCTTTGGCTTTGCACTTCCTGATTTGACAGCATGGTGGTACAAAACCCAGAAGATTTCAATTTCTCTGGAATCAGAGGCTCCTCTTTCTGTTTCCCAAGCTGTTGCAATGTCTGACATCCCTGTGAATCTGAGAAATCATCTGGGTATGAGGCGCTGTTAAAATTACTGTGCTGGTTGACTCTTTGGCCTTGAATGAGTGGTTTGTGAAGCTTGGCTTTGGTGACACGTTGCAGGAATAGGCTGCTTGTGCTCTTGATCAGTGGCCCTTTGTGTGGGACTGATGCTTCTAACATGGATATTTTTGTTTTGTCAGGGCTACGGTCTTTTTGGACACTGCATCACCCTCTTTGTCACCTATAATATCCACTTCCACTCCCTCTTCTATATCTTTTGGTTGGGTGTTGGTGGACTCTCTACCCTACGAATGGTAAGGGACAGGTAGCATGGGGTCCTCTTCTGTGGACAAAAAAAGGGAGGGAAGTGTTGTTTGCTTTATGTTCCTTGGGCCTGGCAATTCATTTCACAGTCAGTTAGGCTGCTATGAAGAGCAGCCTGACACTCTGATATATGAAGGTGACACTGCAACTGCAGGAGGTTTACTGCCTTACGTCTGTGGGGAGTCCTGTCTGAACATCCTGTACTGGTGAGACCAGGCAGGGTTCACCTGCATAGAACAAAATTAGATTACTCTGAATTTGTTGGTGCAAACTGCAAAAAAGGCTCTGAGGAGAGTTCCACTGGCTGTCACTACTTGGCCCACCCTCCTGTGTGCTCCTGACTGCAGTGCCAGAGAGGCAGCAGCTACCTACTCTCTGATCTCCACCTCTTTTGTAGGTTGCTGTGCTGGTGTCACGTACCGTGGGGCACACCCAGCGGCTTATCCTGTGTGGGACCCTCGCTGCTCTGCACATGCTTTTCCTCCTTTATCTGCACTTTGCTTATCACAAGGTGGTGGAAGGTAAGCAGGGGAGATAAAAAGACATCCTCTATGGGAAGAGGAGCTGCGTTTTACTCTCTCTGAGAGAAAGGATGGACAGTTCGGATCTGACGTGAGGGCATCTGTGCCAGTTTCCAACCCAGGAATGACCACCACTAGCTTTATTAGAGGAAGCTGTCAAAGCAGGGCAGGAAGTAAATGAGGGATAGTTTCTGTGCACTGAGTTTTGTTGTGATGCAGGATGCTTATTCTTTCCCCACAAGTGCCGTGTAACAGCATTGACTGTTCTTGCAGGCAGACGTCCAGTCCTTTCCTGAATCATGCTGAAGTTGGGTTGCTTGTCTCTGATCTGGAAATCTGCCTGTCCTGGTTTGGGCTGGGATAGAGTTAATTTTCTTCCTAGTAGATGGTACCATGCTGTGTTTTTGCTTTAGTCTGAGAACAGCGCTGATAACACATGGATGTTTTTAGTTGTTTCTAAGTAATGCTTACTCCAATCAAGGACTTTGCAGTCTCAAGGACTTTTCAGTCTCATGCTCTGCCAGTGAGGAGGGGCACAGGAAGCTGGGAGGGAGCAGAGACAGGACACCTGATCCAAACTGCCCAAAGGGTATTCCATAATACAGCACGTCATGCCCAGTATATAAACCCAGAAGGGACCAATAGCTGCTCGGGTCGGGCTGGGTATCAGTTGGTGGGTGGTGAGCAGTTGTATTGTGCATCACTTGTGTTTATTGTTTATTTTTTCCCTTTTAGTTTTATATTCTCTCCCCTTGTTATTTCCCGTATTATTACTGGTATTAGTATTGTATTGTACTTCAGTTATTAAACTGTTCTTATCTCAACCTACGGGTTTTAAATTCCTTTGATTCTCCTGCCCATCCCACCTGGGGAGGGAAAAAGGGGGGTGACACCTTTTTTTATCACATGTACAACACAGATAGCAGAAGCTGCATTTTCCCCAGTCAGTGCTGTTTACAGTCTATACATGTTCAGGTTCCCTTTCTGTGTCTCTTCTTGATTTCTCCTAACAAAGTCTCAATCTCTTTTTAAAAAGAAAAAAGTCTTCTTCCACCCCAGCACCAGAGAGTTTCCACATCCCTAAACACACAATTCTGCAAGCCTCTTTATGTGTTTAGGCAGCCAGATTTGTTGATGATACTTCAGAAAAATCTGCTTAATTTTGGGGTTGTAGCATAGCTTTACAAGTCCTTTTAGTTGTAAATACTGTTCTTTCCTGGATCTGTTCTCACAGAGAAGGTTCTGAGCCCTGATCTGCAACTTTTCAGCAGGTGAAATAGAAGAAAATATACTCGGAGCAGTTTTCTGCAAGGCACTCTATGGCTGATTATCAGTCTTGAGAGGGTAATTGACAGGGAGTGGAGGACACTTACATCGGTATGCGTGTTTTCTGCCAAGCATGGGCTGTATTTACATTTCAGTGATAAAAATTCCACATTGCACCCTAGCTGTAGCTCTTGATGTGAATCTGCAGATGTACCTCAGGATGAAACAAACAATCTAAGAGCAGGATCTATGCTGGGATGAAGTAGGGGCAGGATTTTACCTATCTTCCTCAGCAGAGCAGCATCCCTGGCAGTGTCTGCAACTAAGTCAAATGGTAGGAAACTGGATCTGGCACTTAGAGTGAAAGAATCTATGTTCCTCTTGGGAACATACAGTTTCCCTGCCCCAGGGAGAAGCTCTGATCCATACCCTGTGGTCTCTGGATGAAGGTGTACATTCCCATTCAGTCTTTGGGGCTAGATGTTTCCTCCTGTTACCTGGAAGTGCTTCGGATGTCCTGGGCCCTGCCACCATCAACCACTACCTGGCCAGAGGGAAAAACAAGGAGAAACGTGGCATCTGCATCTGAACTAATTCTTGCTACTCTCCCCTTTTTCCTGTTCCCTGCAGGTATCCTGGACACATTGGAAGGACCCAACATGCCACCCTTTCAGAGAGTTGCCAGAGACATTCCAGTTGTTTCCAATGCTGTATTGAACACAACAGCCAAAGCCATTGCATTGACCCTGTAGTTTCACAGACTTGGACTTGCTTCCTTCACTACTTTTGGGGCTGCATAGGGCCATAATAACCTGCTGCCTCTTAGGAACAGGACAGAACAGCAGAAAGAAGAGTTGGTTTTGTTTCCTGGGATCTGTCCTTTGGGTTGCAGTTTTGGGCAGCTGAATGGACTGCACCTCAGAGACTGGGAAGAACTATGCTCTTCCCCCAGCCAGGTCTGGGCTGTCTAGAGTAAAGAGTGGTTCTGTTGCCTGATGTTTAGCTGGGATTTCCCAGCACAGTTTGTCCCTTGCCCCTCTTTCCGCTTGCTGATGTAACCCCGGGGGTATCTGCCCTGTTCCTGTCCTGAAGAGGGAAGAATTAAATTGATGTTGGTGCTGAGTGCTGTTTTATGTTTGAGCATACTTGTGTAATAGAAGAGCGGTGTTGGTTCTCTACACCTTTATCTGTCCTGTTGTAGACTCAAAGCAGGATTCTTTGCAGTTCTCTGCTGTCCTACTTTAAATGCTCTTTGATACATGGTCTGTCTTGGACACCTTTTCCATAGCCCAGAGGAACAGGGACTTTAGTTTCTCTAGAGATTTTCAAGAACAGCATGATGTTTAACTGCATGTTCTTCCTTGTCATGTTCCAGATTGAGCCCTCTTTTTTTTTTTTCCCTTGGTCCAAGCTGCTGTCTCACCTCACTGTCCCTTCTCCCATGGATATCAGAAATGCATCTGTCCCCATGTTTTCACAGCACCTTGTGTTCTTACCACCATTCTGCCAATGTTGCTCCATGGGACAGCAGTTCTAACTGCAGGGGCAGCATGGTTGTGCATGTTTTTCTGTGGATATTTCTATTAAGACTCTAGTTCAGCCCACCCCCACGCAGCTTGTGCTAACGTCTCCCAGCCATGGGACTTTGACCTCACTGCTCTGAGCAGCATCCTGCTCCCCCAGACACACAATCTGCTGTGTACTGTCTGGCTCTTCAAGCTGGGTCTAGGCCTTATTCCTGAAAGGAATCCTGGATGCTTTTGAGTCTCTGGCAAGCTTTTCTCTAGTGTTTCCATTAAACTAAGGGAGAAACTGGGGAGTGTGCAATGGTAAGAGAGTTGGCACATTCATCTCCAGCATACTGGTTCAGGAAAACTCCGGTTAAGGATGGAGAAGTGAAGCAGCTCAGTGTAGGCTTACTGGCACTGCAGTAACTCGTAGCTGAATAGTTCAGAGGTAGCCTTCCCTCACTGCTCTCACTTGTACTGGTCCAAGAGTGGAAAGCTGTTAGCTGATAGTTGGCTTTCACCTTTTCTCTGCCTGTAGCTCTGGATGACTGAGGGAGAGGAGCCACCCCTTAGAAGTTTTCCTTATGCTCAGGATGGAGGAAAAAAAAATAGAAGGTGTTTCCCTTTCTTGTACTTTCAAGTTAGCTGTGCGCAAGGCAGATGGCACATCAGAACTTCACTCCTTGCTGCCTTGCTTTTATTAGTGGGAGAGGATGCAGCTGTAGTGGCATTCGGACTAGTGCCAGAGTACAATGAAAGAGGAAGACGGGGCCAGCTACTGTCCTCAGGCTGGTCATCTGCTTCAGTCAAACAAAAATGTCATTTGAGCATTTGCAGTCACAGACCTACTTTCCACTGTTGCTTATTCCTGAGTTCTAATTTGTTCCCCCTTCCAAGAGCAAGAAGCTCGTCTGCTAACAAACACGTACATAACAGACATGTTCTCTCACTCATTTCCCCCCTCCCTGGGAAATTAATTTTGTCTGAAGAACCCCACAAAGAGCAAGTTATCTGGAGGAACTAAGTATCTAGGCCTATGGTCTCCACATCTTTTGGACCAACTGAACTACTGTAAGCTTGTAGAACTTTTATTACTTTCAAATTTGACAAAAATGAAGTGTTAGTTTGTAATGCTGATTCTGGTATTTCCCTCTTTATAATTCCATGGGAGGTTGGTTTCTGATTCATATTTCTTGCCCTGGCAGCCTAGAATGGGTCTGTTTCTCTTGGTGCAACTCTCACAGCACAGGCAGGGGGTGAAGGAAAGCAGAAAGAGACAATTGTCACCAGAATAAGTCCAGCCAAGAAGAAAAATCATTCTGCACTGAACTCCTATCACTGCTGATACACAGACACTGTTGGAGAAGAGCTGTGCACCACTCCAGCACCTAACCACTTACCTACATCAGAGGAGTGAAGCTGTGCCCTGTGTTTTCACTCAAAGCACAGGAGAGAGCAGTGAGCTCTTTGTGCTTCCCCTGTGCAGCCTGTGTGCCATGTCAGCTGGGAACTGATGACCAGGGTGACAACTCTCTCAGAAGCCATGGGGCTTGCTCTGCTCCAGTTCTTCAGGCCTGATTAATTCTGTGTGCATGAGCAGCTGGAAGCTGAACTGTTCTGTGCTGCCAGAAATACAGTACTCAGCTGAGAGCTTCAGCATCTCCTTTTGCTGACAGAGAGAATGCACTTTTGCAGGGAAATACATGTGTGCTGCAGTTCCAGGGAGGGTGCTGAGCATGCAGCCTTAGTAAAGTCCTTGTGGGAGCACGTCAGTGCTTACTCAAGTCCTCTAGTTACCAGGACAAGCCTTACAGCCCTATCATGGCAGACTATCTCTGCCTTTGTTTCCTGCCATGGCTCTTGCAGAAAATCCAAAACAATTTCCCCCCTCCTCCCCTGCAGCAAATCCGAAATACTTGCCTTCCATCACCTCTCCCTTTTGAGGAAGGTTGCTGAGACTTGTGTAAGCCCCTTTTTATTAAATATGAAAAAAATCATATAAAGGTGTCAGACTAGAAAGAGGAAGATAAAGTGTATATTAAAGCATTCCTGATCTCCTCTCCTCTGCAGTACCTGCGAGTCCAACCCTTTCTTGAGTCCCTCCTTGTAGCACTAATTGTTGCAACCTCAATGTGTTTTGGGTTACAGGCAGCCTTATCTTCTCCCATTTGCATTCCTTCCTGCCTCTAGTCTCACTGTGGCTGCTCCTCATTCACTGTTTTTCTCTTTTTAAGTGTTAGCACTTAATGACATCAGTCAAGAGAGTCAGCCATTCCTTGTGCCCCCATTAGGTAAACAATAAACTACCTTCCTCATACCTGCTTCATAACTGCACATGACAAGGAAGCAATATCTAGTTCTTCACAAAATACCATTGCCAAATTCCCCTCTCCATAGTCCTTAATTAGGTTCAGTGAGCCAAGAGCCAAAGCTTTGAACCATTAGCTCCCGTGCCGCTTTTCATAGTGTTTGAGCATAAAGCAGGGTAGGACCCTTACCTCCTCAATGTGCTCTTGCTCCTGACAACAGGCAGCGAAGGTGCCACCACTAGGGCATCCTCATCAATACTTCAAGGCCTCTGCTGTCAACTGAAGTGGGACACATCCCAGGGGCTCTCCTTCAAGCACCTCTCTAATAATAGCCTGCTCAATGAAGCATGGGTTAATTAGTGCCTGGAGCTAATTACAAGGTGAGACTCAGTGCAGTCTCCCAGTCGACCTGTACAGATCAGCAGCTGGTATTTTCTTGGCCACCCCCTTGCTCACCACTCTGACACCTAGCCTCTGCCCCTCACAGCCCTGGAATACATAGGATCTGGTTCTCACCTGGACCATTTAATGTGACCTTAGAGATCAGTTGCTAAGTTTTTGAAAGCCACCACCTGTAACACAACTGGATGCTCACAGCTGCTGCTCATATCCCAGTGCAGACGTGTTGCCAGGCCAGTGTTCTGTTTTGATGTGTCTTGTAGGTACAGAATCAAGCCCATGCAGGTATGTATGGCTGTATCTAGAGAACAGCAATACTCAAGAAACCTCAAAGGGCATGAT